TGGTGGGATGGCAGCAGAGGTTGAACCTTCCCGCCAATATTCCACGATGTTCTGTTGCTGTCTGACAGAGGGGCAAATCTGACAAAATGGCATCTGATACGTAGGTGTGTATGAAGCAAAGGTGTGGAACAGAAAAAATGGCACATTTGACATTCCTCAGAACTTACGAATGTTTATGGAGACCAAACAGCAGATGTGAGCACAGCGAGGCGCTGGGTGGTGCATTTCAGCAGTGGTGACGCTGCCTGTGGGTCACCTCCAGTGCAGTTTTTATGAGTGCAGCCTGCAGGCTCCTGTTCATTGCTGATAAAACTGCATAGTTAATAGTGGTGGCTGTTGAAAAACAGTGTTTTGTAGATGAGAACGTGCTCTATCAAACAGCTACTGTGCTCACTGTATCTGTTGTAGTTTGCATGGAGATAAATAGGAGGCATTGCTTTCAGCATAACGTACGCATATGCAGCCCAAGACAATTCCTTATCACTCAGTGCATCCCAGGCAACCAAAAGGTTGGACTCTCGTGGGCTAGGTAATAAAAACTTTGGTGTTTAAATGATCTCCTGACAAAAAGAAAAAGCAATCTGGTTAATTTGTGCTCTCTCATAGAGATTTGTGCTTTGTGCTCTAAGTCAAAATACAGGATTTTGGAAATATAGAAGCTGATTTTGTGTTCTTTCTAATGCAATGACTTAAATAGTTACTCCCTGGAGTGCCTATTTTGGTCACATCTTCATATGGCTTAGCTGTGCTTCTGCCACCTTGGACAACAAAACACAAGGAAGATCAGAAATAGAAAACTGACATGTTTTTGCTTCAGGGACATCATAGCAGCAGGTGTTCTGGGAGAATTCAGTGAATCTGTCTACTGAAACTAATGGAAAATGGGACTGCTCGAGGTCAGACACCTCAGGTGAGAGAAGTTGTCACGATGTATTTGGAAAATTGCATATTGGAAATTTGGATATGTTTGATAGAGTTAATACAAGTGTTAGAATATACATGTGGACCAGCCTTGTAAGAAATGCATCACAGGTGAAATGAATCTGAAATTTTAGTTTTTTAGAGTGTATTATCTCAAATTCAGCAGATCTATTATACAAATGTTGCCCTCATATTAACAATCTGCATTCACATAAGTGACACAAATTTGTGTTCATGAAGAACAATATATAACTATCCTGCTACCTTTAAGGGAGAAAAATATTTAAAGAAAATGAGCTGTAAATAAAATATAGAAAGGGGTGTAGTGTAGAATGATCAACTTTGTTTAGCAACTCCTGTTATTAGAGATTCTGTATGTCACCTTTATATGCTGCATGATATCCCTGGCATATAGTAAACATCCACTTCAGCCTGTATTTTCTGTTTCCTTTGTATGTATGTTCTTTATCAGTCACAGCTATTATCTGTCATATTTCTATGGAAAATGTATGACAATTTTTGACGACCTACTGGTTTAAATAAATTATGAGCTTTTTAACAAGGCTCCTAGCCTGCATCTCTGCAAGGATTGCCAGGAGATATGCTACAGTCTAGAGGAGTACATTCCTTGTTTCCCTTACTTTCAGCACAGAGATTGTCCAGCACTTATTGTGGAAATGGGCTTTAAGTGCCCACTATTCTGAACTCCATCACACTGTCAGCTACCAATGTTCTTTCTCCTTGGTTCTGTCTCTGTTCCTGCCCTCACGTGGCTGGCAGTCAGGTGCACTGCTTTACTACTGCAGCCTTCGCACCACAGGCAGTGAGCAGCCCTGCACCCTGCTGGTGTGGGCAGCCAGCTTCTGCCTGTTTGCAGGCTGAGCTGTACCTGCACACCTGGACATAAACACAAGTAGAAGCACGCCATTAATGGATACACGTGAAATGTAAATCACACAAATAATGGAATGTTTCTTTTTCTAACCATGTGGTACGCAGAAGCACATGTGGCTCATAGTACATACTAGCACATAATTCAAAGAAAGTATCTCCCTGGATTCTTCCCATTTCTGTTTACTATTATTATATGCACTATATAATGTACAGAATAATGATTGAGAAGATGAGTGATTTTTGTCCATTGAATGTAATTATGCAAGTCTACAAAAATATTTTTGTCAATGAATGATTGGTAACATGAAATGTTGAAAGTTTCATTTAAAATCTATTTAAATTCAGCCTGCTCAAGTGTTAAATATCCCTGATTTCTAGCATGTATGACTTGTCTGACTCTTTCACTTGCAAGACATACAGTTACCTGAAAGTTACTTCTCTCTAAAATGCTAATGTAATATTAGGAGGCATCTGACCAGCCTAAAGTTTAGCTTGACATGATAATAGCAAAATAATATGAATTCAGATTATACTGCTCCTAAGCTGCATCTATGTAGGTCACTCTGAAAGTAATGCCTCCTCTTTATTTCCATGGAAACTACAACAGATATAAAGAGCACAATAACACTATTTGACAGAGAGAATTCTCAGCTGTAAAATGCTTTTTCAATACAGTCACTGCCATTAGCTATGCATTTTCACCAGTGATGAATAACAGCCTACATGCCACACTCATAAAAATCTGCACCAGCAGAGGTGACCCACTGTTTCACAGCTGCTATGATAGCATCATTGCTAGGAAAACGTTGCCCAGGAAGCCTGTCTTTCATTAGCCTGAACAGCTGGAAATCAGAAGGTGCTAAATCTAAACTATACAGTGGGTATGGTAGGACAGTCTAGCCAAGAATGGAAACATCCCCAAAGGTCTTCAAACTGATCTGGCATTACTTTCAGAGCAGCCCTCAGTGTTGAACTTTTTTAGTTGTTTTTCTGTTAATACCATTGTGTAGATGTGAAAAGTCATTATAAAGTATACTGATTTGGATACTTCATTCTTAGCCAACACAATTAATCCCCAGTAATTTTATCTTTTTTGCATTGTGATTTCTGTGTTAGGAAACAAAACTGAAAATTTCCATTGTACTCTCTGCTTTGATATTGACCCAATTTATGATTTTTGTCACTCAGTGTACCTGTGATTCATTATTCTCACTTCTTAAGAGATGTAATCAATGTTGAAATAACTCATAAACGCGTAGTGAGGTGCTGAAGTATTATAAATAGTGAGCTGGGCAAAAAGTGCTGTTATTAGTTCTTCCAGGCAGTGTTCTACATAATATTAAATTTAGCAAGCGCTCTGTCATTCTACTCATACACTTTGAACAAAATTTTCCATTTATAGTAAGAGCTACAGGATGAGCTCTGCTTTTTGTTTTGTGCTGCCCTAGGGAACAAGTTCATTGAGGTTTTAGCCAAGTTCTGTTGCCAGTTACCTTAGTGCAGTGTTGGATTTCTAATGCCATTACAGTACTTAAGGGTTGCTTTGAATGGCAGTATTCTAACAGATGTTTTAAAAAACTCTGGAGTCTACAACTGGAGAATGATTCTGAATTTTTAAAACTGTAGTCAGCATAATGGAAGAAGTAAAAAAATGCACATCCTAATTACAGAGGATATGTTAATGGAGTAATGCACAGTGAATATAAACAGAATATGTAAAGTTGGACATACCTGTTCTGCCCCGTTGTATGCCTCCAGAGTGCACAGGGTGCACAGCAGAATGGGCTTCTGCTGTTCCATCAGCAGCCGAGCTGAGGCTGTTGGCCATGATTACAGTTAGGATCAGTCTGTATAATCTTAGCGCAATTACTTTGCTGCACTGAGAACGTACAATAAAGTACTGCAGATAAGAATCAGATTTCATCAATCAGAAAACAAAGGTTCTCCACGCAAATATGTTAACAAGGATGGAGATCTTCCAGCCCACAAATGGGAGCCACCTAACTGCTTGACGTTTAATCATTTGTTAATCCATTTTACAGTAATGGATCCTGACATTTAAATTGCTCCCGATCATATTCACTGGCTGCACATACCTTGCCTTCATACAAAAGAGTACAGCTGACACCGAAGGTAGGTTTTTGGCCTGCAAAAGAGCCCTGCTTAATTCTTTTGTTAATGTGCAGAGTGGAATGGACTGTAGTTAATCCTGCCGTGCTTAATTTCGCTTTGCAAGACTGGCTGCTTGTTGTCAGTGAAACCAGCACTTCTGGTGGTGCACAGGAAGCAGTCTGGCCAAAGGGGGCTGTTTTTCTACAGTCACTCTTCTATCTAGAACAGCAATTTCAAAAATATGCATCATTTTTGAGGGAATCAAACTGATTGTTTCTCAGTAATATCTTCAGCTGGCAGCAAAGTAGTCGGTACTCCATACAAACTCTTGAGTTTTTCTTTCATTTGGTCTACAGCCTTTTGGTAGGAGAGACTGCTGCTGCAGCATTTAAAGTGGGGAGGAACAAACAGCTACTCAGCCTTGTGCTTTTACCATCTGTGAACACGTATCACCAGTAGAAATGATGCACACGCACTGTTTTTCACAGTGTTTATACTCTGAGCGCCCGCTCCCAGCCGCTGCCGTTCCCGCCGCGCTCCGCTCCTCCTCACGGCACGCGCAGCCCATCGCTGCGTGCTGAGCGCAACTGCAAACAGCTCGGCTTGGAGAGTGCTGCTGCTGCTGCTCTGCCCCGTGCTGTTTGCTTATAAATAAAACCTCATTCGCACACGCGCTTGACGCCAAGCGCCGCACAGCTTCGCGCCTTGACTGTTGCACCGGGTGACGGACCGAGCCCGGCAGCTCGCGTAGCCCGAAAGATGCTTCACGGCGGGGTTTTAGCTTAGCTACAGCCGCTGCCACGCTCAGCGCCAAGGCGGATCCAGCCCAGCAGAAGGCGCGGCGGGCCAACCGCTCCACCGCGTCCCGCCGCCCTTCGCCCCGCGGCCTCCCCTCAGCTCCGCGCCGCCGCCGCGCGCGCGCTGCTGCCCCCTGGAGGCGGGCGGGCGGGAGCGGCGGAGGCGCGCGAGCCGCAGCGGCTGTCGTGAAGGCAGCGCCTCCCCGCCCCGGTCGGCAGTGAGGCGGCGACCGAGCCCGGCTGCGGATCGCAGAGCCCGCCGCGGCGCCCGCCGCCCTCCCGCCCGGCTCCGAGCCCTCGTCCAGCCGCCCTCCAGAGCCTCGCCTTTCTCCCGCCCGGCCAGATGATGAACTTTCTGCGGCGCAGGCTCTCGGACAGCAGCTTCATCGCCAACCTGCCCAATGGCTACATGACGGACCTGCAGCGGCCGGACCCGCAGCAGCCGCCGCCGCCGCCGCCCTCGGCCTCCTCGGCGCCCGCCTCGGGCTCCCCGGCCGCGGAGCGCCGGCAGCCGCCGCAGTCGGCGCCCCCCCAGCAGCAGCCGCCGCCGCCGCAGCAGTCGGCGGGCAGCAGCTTCTTCAGCTCCCTGTCCAACGCCGTGAAGCAGACGGCGGCCTCGGCCGGGTTGGTGGACCCCACCTCCGCCTCGTCGGCCGCCGGCAGAAAGTTCAAGCTGCTGCTGGTCGTCGACGAGCCGCACACGGACTGGTAGGTGCCCCCGGCCTCGCGCTCCCTTCCCTTGCCCGTCCCTCGCGGCCCCGCTCCCCTTCCCGTGCCGCGGGATCCCTGGGGGCGGTGCGGGGCGGGAGGGGCTGCCCGCAGCCGGGCTGGAAGACAGTGCCCGGACCGAAGCCCCGGAGCCGGCAGGGACTGGAGCCGCGTCCGTCGGCACGCTCAATAAAGCTTGTCTGCCGCACCGAAACGGCGTGTCATGTATTCAGTGAAATAAACACCGCGTGCGAGCGCGGGGGGCGCGAATTTGTTTTGGATGCCGTGGCGCTACGTGCGCTGATTCACATCGGTGAGCTTGTTTTCGTGCTCGGCTCACCGCTGCTGAGATGCGTGCTGGGGCGAAGGTCCTTCGGCAGATCGGCGGCGAGCCCGCAGCTGTGCCTTAGCTCTGTGCGTGCGTGTGGTGATTAGGGTAATTAACAGCTGGGCTTTGCTTTGCTTCCCCGTGTGATTTACCAAAGCTAAACTTGTACTGCAACTCGTTCCTTCTGTTGCCCGGGGGAGAGGTCACCGCTTCTTCAGAGCCGTTTGCCGTATAGGACTGTGCTGAATGTTGTCGTTTACAGAAAGATGTACGTTTATTCACCTTTATCATCTTTCCCTGCCGTGTGTTTACGTGTCAAGCTGTGAATCCCCTCGCGCAGTGTCACCAATTGCGGTGTATAATATCTAAATTGTGCCTAAAAATAATACGGAGTAAAACAAGTATGTTGTTACAGCACTGACATCATTCGGTAATGGATTGTGGGTCTGTGATTTTACTGTCAGCTTCTCGAATTTGTATCCCCGCTGCCTAGACGTACGTGGGCAGTTCTGATTTGAGATCGTTTGCTTTGAAATGGTACTTTAATATAATATTCAATACAGAAATTTATGCATGATAAAGTGGAATTATCCATAGCAAAGGTACTACGTTCGTTAAGATAATGTCACCTGTTATGTCTCCCTTTAAAAGCAAACAACAAACCCGACAAGGTTGTTGTATCTGCCAGACTACAGAGAGCCTCTGTGCCTACGTCACGGAGATGCATCCATGGACACTGCTCACAGCCTTGCAGATACATCTGTTTATTTGATATTCTACAGTGCATGTATTTCTGCTTGGTAAATTGAATAACTACCCTACCATGAACTGTGTTCATGAAGTTTGTTTCTGGTACTGAAGCCAACCTGTGTATTATAACCATGGAATGTTTTGCATACTTGATAAATGCATTCAATGTGAACACAGTATTTCAGCAAAATTGAAGCTCGTAAAGGTCTATTTTGTGAATGCCACCAACTGCAGTTCAGGTAGGTGGCCAGATACATTCTCAAATGTACACAAGGTCATGCTTGCCTGCTTTTTCTGTGTTTTTTTCCTTCCAATGGTATGTGATGTGGATACATAGTAGTTGTATCAAGAACAGTTTCTTGGTACTGTGCTGGTACTGTCTGTTTTTCCTCTGAAAAGCAAACCAGGCTGAAATTGGGGATTTTAAAGTAAGCGTTGAAATACAAATGTGTGTATTCTGATAACATATGCAGAAAAGTTTGTTCTGTATCTTTGGAATTTTGGACACCCATGTTGGAAGGTATTGCAACAGGATTTGACTGTATCATGCTTATGAGCAGGCTTGGACTGCACTATAAGTGATAATTATATTGAAGGCTGGAGGTGGCAATAGATAAATGACAATGATCTCCTGGCTCTTCCTCCAGCTCCCTGCCTGGTATGATGCACTGACGTAAGATTTAGTGAGATGAGGAATGTAGAGCTGCTGTCATGTGATACATGGAAAAAATACTGTCAATAACAACAAAAACCTCAATACCAAGTAAATCTCTTATGCTAAATATAGATTCCTGAGAAATGATTTCAGTTGATTTATTTAATCCTGAGATGAAGATTACGTGCTGGGAATTTTGAGCTGCATTGTGTTTTCCTTAAATTGAAAGTGTGTCTGTTGCCTTTGGGTTGCAGTCTCAATAGAAATCAAAGAATTTCCACCTGGATCATAATGCAATCCTACTAAATCAGTATCCTCTTTCTAGCAAGCTCTGGAGTATGTATTATGCACCTTCTTTTGTGAGCTAGACATATTGTTCCTTAATTTTAGCGCCAAAAGTACATTGTGTTTCTGTTATGTTTAATTTCTATTAGAAATTAATTCATGCTTGAAGTCTGAGATGTACTAACCCTTCCAGTGTTGTTGTTGCTACTGGATTCATATGGGTTATTTTACAAATAAATGAATGTCCAGTTGTTAGCATTCTTAATCTTGATCGCAGTGCTTTCTATCATTTTCTTGTTGTAAAAAGCTTTTCCTTTCACAGGCTTTGAAATTATTCTTTTACTGTTTCTTTTATGGCATAAGGAAATTAACTTACCTGTGCTCATTTGCTTATTTTGCCATGCTATCTTGTCTTTAGGGAAAGAAATAAATCTTTAAGGAACGAAAGCAAGTATAGTCATCTTGTCAAACCATGCTCATTACTCTACTAACACTCAATCAACTCCGTGTTAGAACTGTGAAAAATTATTCCCCTACATGCTCTTCCGAAACTTGCAGCTATGTAAATGAGAGGGACCTTCAAGGACTTCCAATAAGACAAGCTGATGTCAAAGGCTTTGTATCAGTTAATACTGTTACTCCTGCCTCCAAGACAAGTGAAGGAATAAAACAAGGATAAGGCTTTCAGTCATCTTCCATAGGCAAACCCAAGACAAGCTATATTCAGTGCTTCTGGTTCTCCTGGTCTCCTTCTACAACAAATGATCTTTTGGTGCAAAGGTGGAAGAAAACAACAGTCATTTTTGTCAATTATATTTGAAGCTTTCTCTCATTCTAAGCTATCACTATAAAGAAGGGATGACTTGTAATTCCAACACTCCTTCAGATAAAGCAGTGCTATTCATTTATATAGAAGCAGTGGAAAAGCTCCTCTTATTTTCTGGCCCATTCTTTATGCATTTCAGCATCATGTTCTTTTCATCTGCAGCTGCATACTAAACAGATATTTGTAATACCTTCACTGATATCTAGATCCTTTTCCCAAGTTACCACATCTAGTTGAGAACCTTGCAATGTATTTAAAAGGTAGAAATCATTTTGGTGGAAAAATGTATGATTCCAGGCACTTCATGGATCTGTTAGGGAGGGGAAAGCTTCAAAGAACCACTTTTTACCTTTAGACTTTATATAATAGACTTCAGCCTGATTATTTTGCAGGTTTAAGTATCTGTGTTGCTATTTTTACAAATGGAAGAAGCTAAGAAGTAAAATCATTTGCTCAAGGTCATTCAAGAGCCTAGTGACAGAGCTGAAATAAAAGCTAGATATTTCGCTTCACCTTTTCTTTTAATTCTCCTTTTCCAGCTGTTCTGCTGTAAAATTATCAGCTAGACATGTTTATTTTACAATATATTCAGTTTCTTCAGGAAATAACCATTTTGTTCTGCATGCAAAATGTGCTGAATATTCAGTTCTGTGTGAGCAATTGATTAGAGGGTGTACATCAGTGGCAAGGTGCCAAAATGCTGCGTATGTAAATCCTTGTCTTTATTGAAAGCTTATGTATATTTGGAGAGTTGTTTACATGCTGAAAAGTAACCATTGCTTGCCTGGTCTCGTGCTTCAAAGATTGACTCATTGGCCGTAGTGATGAAAGAAGCAGATGGGAAAAGCACAAATCTTGTAAGTATCAGTGTATTTCTGCTCTACTTTTCTCTCCATCCCAATGATTACACATTTCTTGTGATATCTGCTGCTTTAGTAGTTACCTATGTTGTGATAGGTCCAGAAAATTGTTTCCAAAATCCTTGTGCTATGGGCTAATATTGCTCATCGTGATGTTTTTAGTCTTTCTGGCATTGTCTCAGTGCAGAAAGACACTGATTTATGATACAGAAATTTACTTCAGTTTTATTTATTTATTTATTTTGCAGTTGTCCAGGCAACTGAAAACAGTTTCAGTTAAAGATACTTGTGATGCTGTTAGGTGTAACTGCCAAACAACTTGCATACTACAAGCTTTAAAAGTTTTAAAGTGTTTTAAAGTGATCTTAGTGAGAAATTTCATCTGTATCTTAAAGAATTGGCAACCCTGCAGACTCGTTAAGGTTATGGCCTTTGGACTAAGTTCCTAATAGTCTTAAAAGTGGGATGGCAAGCAGATTGTAACATGAAACCAGCATGTGCTTAGATAGCTCCTTGCAAGCAGGTGGTTAGACTGGTCCTACATCTCAGCACACATTGCAGTTAACTCTATGCTAAAGCTCTGCATTTTTTAAAATCAAAATAGCAACATACTTAAAGAAGACATGACTGTAACAGAAATGCTCAATCATGGCCTGAACCATCCACCAGATGGAACGCCTGGTGGGAAGTCAGGGCAACCCAGTGGAACTCAGTTGTTCGCAATGCAATGCACCTGAATGGCTGAAAGGGGTGGAGCCAGGATCCACCTCTTCCCAGCCCTCATTTAAGGGTTGGCACTGGAGGTGAGAGTATCTCACTGGAGATTCTTGTGTGCCTGAGACCTTCTGAAAGTAAGCAGGTTCTTTTCTTAGTTTCTATGTGCACAGCTGTTGCATTTGAGCAAGTCTTCTGTTGCTGCAGCCTAGGACCTTGCTGCTCTGCTGTTACTACTGTGCTTTCTGTGGCATTAGAGCATTATAATGACCAAAAGTAACGTTGCCATGAGCACAAGCAGCATGTCTTTCTGCTGTCTGAGAGGACGGATGAAACAATGTGAGCTGTTCCAGAAATTTTTATTTTGAATTCTTATCTACTGGTAAGGTATGAAAAACCAAATAGCTTTTACTGAAGGGATGAAGCTATGGAACAATATGCCTCGTTATTTGTTCTTTGTCCCCTTCTTCTTTCTTTTCTTTTTTTTTTTAATCTTCAGTGAATGTTGAGCAAGAATTTAAGAAGGAGGGCATGCAGCTGAACCAACTGAAGTGAATGGCATAGTAACGTGTTTACAAATCT